TCTTTTATCACATTAGATTATCTGTCTCTGCCTGGTTGGCCTATCTTAATTCTACTTCTAATGTTTAAGCCAGGTAGGATATTCTCCCCAAATAATACTACTTGCTATGAGGAATCAGTGTGTGTGTGTGCACGTGTATACACAGATATGTGTGCAATGGATGGCACACAGTACATGCTCAATTAATTCTTAGTCTTGTGTTTCTCAATGAATACTTTGTCTTGTGTTTCTCAATAGCAATATGTCATATTAGTTTCTTTTGGTCTCCAACAATATTTGACTCCTAAATAAAAAATTAACAATATTTATTCTCATATTTTTCTAAGGTTACTTAATCTCCTGTACAAATTTTATGCTTGTTGAAGACAGGGACAAAAGCCATCTTTCTTTTTTTGTTGTTTGTATTTTAGGGAAGGGTCTACAGGGTGTTCAGGGTCTTACTACTAGATCAGACTCTTAGTGATCCGCCTGTTTACAGCCTCCCGAGAGTTGGGATTACAGATACACGCCACCGTGCCCAGTCGCAATTATTGTCTCAGTGCGCCCTGGAGGTGGGGCTGGCACAGCAGGGCCGGGGATTGAACCCCTGGCCCATGTGCCTGCTTGCAGGCATTTTAATCCACTGGACTATTTGGACGGCCCTCCTTTCATTTTTTTATTTTTCATAGTTTATATAGACAGGAGCTGAATACCTACTAGATAGTCAGTGAACATGGAGCAGAAAAAAATGATAATGAAAGGCCAGCATAATGTAGTTTACCATTAATTTTTAATTGATAATACATTTAATTGTTTCATCTCAGTTTGAAGTTCCTGTGTGTAGCTTGGAAAAGTCTTGTTCTTCAGTGTCCTTGTTTAAAAATTATAGTCAAAATCTCCTAACTGGCTTGTTAAAATTTTGTTTCCTAGTACGACTTTCATGTAAGAATGGATGTACGGAACCATGCACGTAGTATTACCACGCTGTGCTTCGTCTCCTGTGTCTGCCCAGTTGCAACTTTATGAGTTCAGAATGCCCAGTTTCCAATGGAAAAGACAATTACTGAGCAGATCATTCTTAGAACAGATGTGTGATCTTTCTTCTCTGTCAAAACCCAGAAAATTATAGGCTTCCATAATAACAGTTATCAGTTCATTCTGTAGTATAAGGATTAATACCTGCTTACATCCCAAATGGATAATTAGGAAATTTCAAGTTTCTGGGACACAGTGATCACCTCAGTCTTCCACTAAGACTGTGGCTCCAGGGCCACGTGGCAGCGCTCAGGTGGTACTCAGCCACGGAGAGGAGCAGAGATTTGTTCAGAGCTTTGCCCAACAGAAGTAACTGCTTGGGCAAAGTAAATGCTTTCATTTGGTAACAAGAGGGTTATTTTGAGCCAACACTTGTAATGCCCCTCCAGGTGCTGTAACCTCTAGCTAAGCAGTCTAGCCTGAGTGTTCAAGCCAAGAGCTGTTTCATACCTGCTCCACAGAGGTGCCAGGATTATTGTTGCGGACATCAACTTCAAACCGCATGACACCCTCTACATTTGAGATGCAATCCACAGTGTGCAGCTCAGAAATGAATGTCTTTTACATTGAAGGCTTTGCTGTTTTCCCTTAACTTTATTCAGCAAATATTGACTTTGTGTCCACTAGGCACCGTCGCTGTGCTGTCCAAATGATGAGTCCTCATTGTTCCTGAGTCAGGCCTCAAACTCTTCTGTCTTTGCTTGACCTGTTCACTTTGCTAACTGCAGCTGCTACGAGACACCTGGCAAGGTGCTGCTGGGCAAGGTTTACTTCAGATAGGAAGTCATTCGCCAGCTGTCTCCATCTATGCACATGGATCTCTGTAAGTCCTGCCCTCTCCCCTTAAATGGTGCTGTCTTAGGAGTGAAGGGCCATACCACTACTGAGGCTCACTCACCGCTCTTAGCTGTGAGAACTGAAAAATCATGAGTAGACTCACTAATTTGCCACATTTTGTTTATTCGTATCTCTTGCCAAAATAAAAAGTGATTTTGGAGAATTGGATCAAATGTTTCTGAGTGGAATGCTTCGCTACTGTATGGTGTCTTTGGTAAAGGATTCCCTCAAAATCTGTCCAGTTGTTGGGTTTGTAAAACAAGGCTTCAGGAAAGAGGGCAAAAGAAATAGAAAACTTTCTTTACAGATGCTTTGACTTAAATTTCAAAGCAACACTATTGACTTTTTTTAATCTGATGTGATTAGAGTTTATTTACACTCTTAAAATACAGTCCAAAAGTAACAGTTTTTTAAAAAGTGACAGTGTACGCTGCATAGAGATGGTGTATGAAGGCTAATTTGACTCATTTCACCTACTGATTAATCCTCAAGTATAAAAGACATCAATGCAACTAGTTGAAATTTAGGGATTACATCACACTTCCTCATCTATAAGACGTTGAAATGCACCACTTCTCTCTTTTCATTTTTCTCCACTGCCGAGAGCTAGCTGATTCATTTCACTCCATGGAGGGGCCATGCGCTGAAGCATGGCCCCTTCTCTTCTCAGTCACCACCATTAAACCACCTGCTCTGAGGTTCTGTCCTTGGGCAGTGATGGAGCAGGGTGGCGAACGCATGAGAGCTTCCAGTGAGGAAGAGCAGCTGTGGGGCAGGCGTGCGTGCTGCAGGTTCACCACCTGGCCTCCTGGTGCTCCAGTCAAAGGCACACGGGTTCTGCTTAGCTTCCTAGGTCCTTTCGGCTGCCTTGCTCTTCTGCAGGAGCCTGGGCCCCTAAGGCGACACCTGCAGATGCCTTTAATTGCTCATCTTCAGAGCCGGAGCAGGGTCTAGATTTCCCTAAATGGCTCTTTTCTATTTTTTTCTTTTCTGAGACCTGTCCTGCTCCTCTGACTTCTGGAATCTTCCCCCTGAACACCCCAAACAGAAGGTATTCATAAGTTCTCTGTGCCTACCAAATCTCCCTTATAAAGAGTAAATTTATTCCACCTCCTAATATAATTCCCAGAAGATTTTTCAGCTGAAGAAGGGCAGGAGTGGAATCAAGGATGGATTTTTTTCTTCCCTTTTGCCTGCTCTTTTTCACTTAATGGCATCCTCTCCATTGATGTCCCTGAAGCCGCTGAGACCCACGCAGCATTTGAAGTAATCATGACATAGCTGATAGGCGGTCTCTTTCACACTTATAGTTTTGAACCTACTAGATATTTTAGGTACATACATGAGTGTAAGTTATTCCAACTACACTAAAAGTGATAATACTCATCTTAAAGCCAAATGTTGTGACTCCAAAGTTTAGTTTAAATATGTTTTTTAACTATGGATTTGCATAGAATAAGGGGCTAGTCTTTCAATTCTGAAAAGAGGGATAAAGCAGGTGTTTTTTTTTAGAAATATTATAGATATTTATTTAGAAAAATGAATGGCATCAGCCCAAAGTGGTATTATTTCTAGACTCAAAAATTTCTCCACTGATATTTTAAAGTAAAGGAACTAGTTCTATGAAGTAAGACTATTAGTTATGTTATAGATATATTCACTATATATCTAATCCCTCAAAATGAGTATTTATAGATGACCCTATGAAGATATGTTATTGATGGTGTATTTTGTGTTATATGTTACTGGTTCTGCTTCATGCCATTCAAATTTGTAGGAATTATCAACCCAAGTTAAAGGAAGAAAGGAAAAGCACACAATAGAAGGAAAAGAGTTTAACATGATGCAGATAGCTTACATATAATATGCCCCCTAATAATTGAAATTAATTTATTAGTGAGGCAGTGAGTAATAAAGTTGGTAATAGTTTTCTATTCATATGTTTCTCTAGTTAATTAACTGCAAAAAGCCAGAATGAAAGGAATAATTTTGATAGAACCGCTAGATTTTAATTACATTGGAAAATGCAATATGGAGAACTCTTCTTCACTCTTACTAACATGAATTTATCAAATTCTAAGGAAAGAAGGGACCTTAGAAGTCATCTGGCTCAAAGTGAACATCGCATCTGTGTATGACAAGGGCCTGGTCCATGCACATGACTGGCGTTTTGGGATGTATCCGACTAGGCAGTGAGATGAGACTTGATCGGGAGAATTAATCCATTTGGGCCCAGATTGTGTGTGTACTTGTGTGTTTGTCAAAATCTTTAAAGTAAAATCCACTCCAAAGTGAGTTTAAATGCGTGAGCTCACGGTAGGTATGACTTTCTGAGTTCCCCCAATTTTTTAGTAGAGAGTAAATGAGTTTTGCCTAAGTGTATAACAGTATTTAAATTGTATTTTAGACAACACTGTATTTGTATCCAGTGCTTTAGCTAATATAGAAGGAAGCTTCCAGCCCACGTCTCTCTTTGTCTGCTCCTAGCTCCATTCTCCTTCTCTTCTGCCTTGTCACTGAGGTGGGGAAGGGCCTCACGCCACCGTGCCAGAGAGCGGGCCACTGCCACGGCTCTGGCGGACCTGGCTTGCAAGCGTTCTCGTTGCATTTGGTTGACTGCCACATAGACAAGTTATATAAAAAGACACTGAAAAGAAAAGATTTGGCAGATAAGAAATAGTCTGAATGTGAATGTTCACTTAGCGTTACTATGCACTTATGACGTGGGGAGCAGAGTTAATCGCTCTAGTGTGTGAGAAATTAAATAACCTCCAAAGGTCATTGCTGCTTGAGAGGCAGGACTTATTTCCCTGACATTGTCTCACAATTCCTGCTAACCACAGTCTAGACAATACACTGGCCACTTTATATAAAACAGAACTATTGAGATGTGATGTGTAAACAATGACATTATATTTAAATAAAATGGCAAAGAAGCCAGAATCACATAATGGTGTAGTCATGTAGCACCGCAGATTTCTTATTGGAAGTCTAAAATAGTTACTTTTTGGTTTGACATAAATTAATGGGAGAAAGTAAATGTTTTAATCATACTAATATTTTCCTACTATTTTGTAGATAAACAGGCTTTACAGTTGCATGAAAATTTCTAGAAGTATTACTCAGAAAGTAAAAGAGAATAAACTTACAGCCCTGATGCTTTCAAAGTGTCCCCCATCTTTCTCAAAGTCAATGGGCTGTCCTTTCAGCGTCCAGTGGAAGCTGACATCCAAGCTCGCGTCGTGAATGGCTCGGCAGTTAAGGACGATGCTCTCCCCCACCGTCAGCTCTGTTCTCTTTGGAGTAAGCTCTATCCTTGTGGGTTCTATGAAAGCAAAAAATATATTAATGACAGAATCAGTAACATGATAGTATTTCTCTTCATCCTAGGCTATTGTAAATAACAGAGAAAAATAAGGAATCTACACAATGTTACTGCTTCTTGGGTGGTGGGGTATTCTCACTGTTTTTGTAGGGGGTAAATGATTTTAGAGTTGCTATCTCTATGCAGAAGTCAATTTAAATAAGAGGGCAAGAGACTGGAGGAGGAGGAGGAGGAGCTGCACTCCGTATTCTGCAGGAATGGAAGGAACAAGAGGGCGGCTGTGGCATTTCTAACATCCTTTAAGGATCACCAAATAAATACTTTTATGATGAAAGTGCTGCATGTAATAAGGGGAAGAGCACAGACAATTCACTTCCTTAAGAGTTATAAGGAGTCAATAAGGCGAGAGCAAACACCTCCCATCAAATTGCTTTCTCACAGGAACAAAGAAGAAAAACATTCTTTTGTTAATCAAGTTGTGCTAGCTTTGCACACCACAAAATTCTGAGTAGAAAAGAGCTAGAAGAGGCACCTTTTGTGCGATTATAAAATATCACTTCTGATTGTAGTTGGATTAAGGGAGCTATATAAAAAGATAAAAACATTAAGTTTGAAATATTTCTTAAAGAAAATAATTATTTATACAGTGGCTCTGCTGAATTTAAGCATTTTTTCTAGAGTTACAGCATCTCTGAACCAATAAACGCTAATACAGTTGTTCATCTAAAGGCTTAATAAGTGGTTCAATGACTGCAATATGTTGTGTTTTGAATAAAATAGAGAGGTGATGAAGACAAGATTCTGATTTTATCTTTTTAGTAATTAGATTCCTGGGTGTAAATATCACAGAGAGATTGGCACAGTGATTCAAAATTGTCTTCACTTTCCTATTTAATCTCTACTCTGCAAAATTGTAGTCTGAGAAAGCACCTCTCCTAACTAGCTCTCAGATCTTTTAATGTTCAGTGTTGTTCCTTTGAAGAAGAGACAATTCCAGGATAAGAATGCCCCTGTAAACGTTAGCATGCACAGCTGAACTACTCAGTGACGTTAGGCTGTCGTTTCAATTTTGCTGGACTTGAAGTGTTGAGTTCTGGGTAAACACATACCTATTAAACACATAACTGACAGAAACCATTATTCATTATCATTAAAATCAAGGTTTTAATGGGTTCAGGATTAGCTTGTTATGATAAAGTTTAGCATGCAACAGAAACAAGGGAACAAATAGAACTCTGGGTTAGATCCCAATAATACGTGATATAAGTAGAAACATCTTTTAAATTGTTATTTCCTGCCCTTGATACTTGATTCTCTTCAAGCTTCCAGACAGTTGGCTATTATAATTATATTTTCATTTGCAAACACAGAGAAAAATTAATGTTTTCTTATTTTTAAGTGTACAGATTATTAGTACTAAGTACAACACAATATGAATCTTCACTAGTGTTCATTTCCACAACTGCTCTCCCATTCCAAAAAGTACTCCTGTTTTTACGGATAATACATATTTTATATATAATACATCCACAATTAAAAATTGTGATATAGTTCAGTTGTGAAAAAACATTCTTTTGTTAACTAGAGAAATTCTTTCACCTAAGATATAAAATTTTTTTTCTACTACACAACATATTGCTTCAAAATAATATCGTTGGCATGAAACCTAGTTCAATTACAACTAGAAAATGAATTAACATTAAGCAGTGATATTTATTATATTAAAATAAAGGCAATAAAAGTCCTGTTGAAGCAAACGTCAATGAACAGTTCTGCTTAACAATTCATCGGGTGAATACGCCTGCCCCACTCACGGATTTTCTCTTCCTATCCCACCTTTCTTTTGAAATCTCCAAGTGGCAACAAAGCAATACTTCTGACTGATGCTAAAATTATTCTTGTTAGATTAAAAATGTATTTTTTTCAGCAAGCCATCCAAGCACTCCACTACGAGAACATCTCCAGATCCGGTGGAGGAAAAGTAACTGGATACTATGAGCGTCCTCCTAACGCTTTGAGACACTGAGGAAAACTTGCAAAAGCTTTCTTGATCCTCCCCAAAAAATTCTCCAAGCAAAATATCCAAATTTCCATTAATCATACATTCTTGTTTAGTTCTTTAAATGATGAGAAAGTATAATTTGGCTGCTTGATCTGCATTTGCAACGTGTTAGACACAGGAGTGTGCACACACGTCAGGGCAAGTGTGCATCTGTGTGTGTCTTATGCATTTTCCTTGTCATAAGCACATGAAATTATGCTGACGAAACACTTAGCTGCCTCTTCTTACCTTTCACAGACACTGAGGCCGCAATTGCAGCAGAACCAAAGATGTTTTCCCCGTGGCAGGCGTACTTCCCTTCATCTGATTTGGAAGCGTTTAGGATCCGTAGGCTCCCGTCTGGAAGAATAGCTATTCTGAAAATTATTACAAAGGATTTTTTTTCCTGTTTTAGTACAAAGCAACTAAACAATAAGCAACTCTGATGAGATTTGAAACCCTTCTTAGGTAACAAGACAAAGAATCATGGTGAAAATATACAGGGATAATAGAAGTACTTCACCCTTTAAGATATTCAGTAAGTCCACTTCAGAGCTTATATTCAAAGAGAAAGTTACTGTTCTTTCTTTTCAAAGGTTTTTGACAACTAATTTCTTAACTCGTGGGAGAAGGGAATCCAGGATTTGCTTAGCACAACTTGTTACTATAATATCACATACCAGAATTTTAATATTAAGTATCAAGCTTGAGTATTTTATCTCAAATCAGAAGCAACCTCAAAAGTCAAATACAAACAGAAACAGCATAAAAACAGGACAAGTACAGAACATAAAATTAATTGCATATGATCAGAGAAGATTTATGGAGGTTCCTCCACATTGCCCGTGGCAAAGCAAGGGTACAGAAATGTGGTCCCATATGCACAGGAACGTGACACCTTAGCCTGCATTTGTGCTCTTCCAAAACCTTTGTTAGAAGTGGACCTTCAGTATTTATTGAGGGGGAAAGAGTAAAGCATTATTAACAGTTTTTAGAAGTTCAGTGAAAATGACATTGGCATTTCAAATTACCATATTCTGGTATGTATTTATCATTTTAGGACTTTGGTCTCAAATTTAATTAGTCTTTTGCTTCTTTTTTTCTTCTTACGTTTCTTTAGTAAAACCCTGCGACTTTACTAGGCATCAACCTGCACAGCCAACCCGAAACACGTTAGAAGAAGCAAGTGCTTTGTTCCAGCGGTCATGCTCGCTAGGGTTTGAAGCCACTCATTTTAGTAAAGAGGAATAGCAGATTGTGCTGCATAGATTAAGAACCAGTGACTTTACTGAATTTAAAATCCTAAAATTGACTGCTTCCATTCCTGAGAATAGTTTATGCCATGCCAATATGATAATATTAAACTACGTAAGATTTGAGAATAATGACTAAATATGCTTAGTCTAGACTCTCTGTTATTTAAAAATATATATTCCATCTTGCCAATTACCCAAAGGTGATGGTTATATAGAGCATTAAACTTCATATCAAGCGTTCTTAGATTCTGGGCTGTTGGAATATTGCTTAGGAATTTATACCTACATATTGCCATTAATAAAGATACCAGTTTAAAAACATCATATGGATTTCAATATGGATCAGACTTGATTTATAGTATGTAAGAAGGAAGATGAATTCAGAAACAACCCATACTAGGAGCAGAGAAGTTGATTTTGTTGTCTGTCTAGGAGAGATATTAGCTTAGAAAATGTATTTCCTATAAAAGCTATATAACGGGCTGGGGATATAGCATAGCGGCACAGGTGCCTGCCTGGAAAGTGAAAGGTTCTGAGTTTGATTCCCTGAACAACAACAACAACAACAACAACAACAACAAAAGGATAAATAATTCATTAAAAGTGGTCCATGAAAAATTCTGTTCATTATTTAGACAATGACCATCACAGTAGAATAGAGTGAGATTAATTTGTTTCATTTCAACAGCAGTGATACACACGCTGCAAAATACATATTGTGAAAGCAAGCATTACACTATTTGTCAATGAAGAAGCATCCTCTTATAAAAATTACAGATTACTGGCATTTATCTAAGTTGCTAAATGTTTGAACTATCTGGATTTTACTAACTGGAGTAAATTTTGGTGTCTCAGGAGAGAAATTTAGATAAAAGCTCACCTTGTTCAAAGAAATAAATGTCACTGGGTGTGGCAGCACAGACCTGCAATCACAGTACCTGGGAGGCTGAGGCAGGAGGATAACCATGATTTTCAGGACAGTTCGGACTACATAGTGAATTCATAACCAGCCTGAACTACCTAGAGAGACATTTTTAGATTGGGTCTTTGAATTTTTGGAGGCCTGATTTTTTAACATTCTTTTTTTAAAAAAATGTATTTAGTACAGGGGCCACAGGGTCTCACTACACAGATCGGACTCATAGTGATCTCCCTATTTTCAGCCTCCCAAGAGCTGGGGTTTCAAGTGTGCACCAGCCTCAATCACTGTCTCAGTGTACCCCCAGGGGTGGGATTGAACTCCGGTCACTGTATCTGCCTAAGCAGGGCCTTTAGTCTACTGAGCTATGTGGCCAGCCTAAAATTCTTTATATTTTCTAAATAGAAGATTTTAGAAGAGGGGCAGTGGGATATAAGTTTTTCCCAATTTGTATGTTTTCTTTTTACTCTGTTGGCAATTTCTTTTGATGTGCAGAAGCTTTCCAAAAACATGAGATCCCAATTGTTGATTCTTTGAAGTATTTACCATGCAGTTTGCTTTTTGTTGACTGATTATCTGCCTATCCCTATGTCTGTAAGATTTCTATCTACCTTTTCCTCCATAAAATTTAGCTTTCTCTTTTAATGTTTTTAGTGCATGGTAATAGACTTGGGTTTAATTTTGGTCTTTGACATGTGTAAAGCCAGTTTTTCCAGCACTATTCATTAAAGAGGCTGTTTCTTGCAGTGAATGTGTGTGGAGCCTATGCCAAAGTTAAGGTGACTGAGTGTGTTTGTAGTTGTTAAACATCTTTAACCTGTTTCATTGAGCCCCAGGATCCTACAGATCCTACCAGATTGTTTCTTTTAATTGGTGAATTGAGGCCATTTATATTGACAGTTAAACTCATATGCATTGGCTCATTTTTGTCTAATTGCTCTGGCTAATGTTTCTAGAACTATATTATATTGGAGTGTTGACAGTAAATATTCTTGCCTTGTTCCAAATTTTAAAGTGAAGGCTTTCAGTTTTTGTCTATTTAGTATGATGTTGGCTGTTGGTTTCTCATAGGTGGCTTTTATCACACTGAGATACAGACCATCTTTTCC